AAGACCCACAAAACCTGGGTCCAGCCTAGCTGGAGGCTCAATGGGGAGGGACTTGGAGGAGACAGGGACTCTGTCCACAGGTATTTTGTTTTGTTTTTAAGATTTTATTTATTTATTTGACACAGAGAGGAACAGCAGGCAGAGGGAGAGGGAGAAGCAGGGAGCCCCATGTAGGACTCTATCCCAGGATTGTGGGATCATGACCTGAGCCGAAGGTTGATGCTCAGCAGACTGAGCCACCCAGGCATCCCAGTGGTATTTTTAAATACAAATATTGTGCTGTGTGTGACATACCCCTCTTATTTCCTACTTTCTGTATGAAAGTTTTGGTTAAATGGGTATTTTTCACTTTAACATTTAACACAAAGTAGGGTGAGAGAGATTTGGATTAACAGCAGCAATGTGAGAAAAACTATGGGTTTGGAAGAGAGGTAGGAAGGGTGGTGCTAGGACCAGTGGAAGAGGTGAGAGGCAGATTGCCTTTTTTTAATGTAAAGAGAGTTGACATCGACACCTGTTAAATAACATTCACATTGTAATGATATTCATCAAACAACTACAATGGCAAGATTTTAATTTCTTGTCTGTACTTCTTTGTATAAGTGTATGCCATTTCTAGTAAACAATGTAGTTATTAGTCTTTTTACTTTTTCTTTTTAATATTTTATTTATTTATTTAACGGAGGTATCACAAGTAGGCAGAGAAAGAAGGGGAGGCAGTCTCCCACAAGAGCCCCATGTGGGGCTTGATCCCAGGACACTGGCATCAGGACCCCAGCCAAAGGCAGACGATTAACCCACTGAGCACCCAGGCAAGCTTTTTTTTTTTTTTTTTAAGATTTTATTTTTATTTATTTATCAGAGAGAGAGAGAGAGCACAAGCAGTCAGAGCAGCAGGTGGAGGGAGAAGCAGGTTACCCTCGGAGCAGAGAGCCCGATGTGGGACCCAATCCTGGGACCCTGGGATCATGACCCGAGCCAAAAGTAGATGCTTAACCGACTGAGCCAACCCTCTTTTTTTTTTTTTTAAGTCTCTATTATATATCGGGCTTTCAAAGTCCCGGTTCAGCTACGGAACTACCTCTTGTCTTGCTTATTTTCTCAACTACCACAGAAGTGGATTAGTTCATCCCGAGCTTCCTAACTTCTATAAAAACTCAGCTGCAGGGTGTCTGGGTGGCTCAGTCATTAAGCATCTGCCTTTGGCTCAGGTCATGATCTCAGGATCGTGGAATGGAGTCTTGTGTGGGGCTCCCTGCTTAGCGGAGAGTCTCTTTCTCCCTCTCCCTCTGCTTGTGTTCTCTCAAATAAATAGAATCTTAAAAAAAAAAAAAAAAGTGACTCCAAGTTTATCAAAACAAAGTACTCCCCAACCTAGCAAGATGTACCTTCCTTAAACGGCAGTTGAAAGGGCTAACCCTAACTCTCTTGTTCATTAAAAAAACAAAACAAAACAAAACAAAGTCAAAAGAAATTCTGATGATTGGAGTATCTTCATCTTTTTTTTTTTTTAAGTTTTTATTTATTTATTTATTTGACACAGAGAGAGAGATCACCAGGAGGCAGAGAGGCAGGCGGGGTGGGGGGTAGGGCTGGGCAGGCTCCCCGCCAAGCAGAGAGCCCAATGGGTAGCTCAATCCCAGGACCCTGAGACTTCGACCTGAGCCGAAGGCACAGGCTTAACCCACTGAGCCACCCAGGCACCCCTTCATCTTCTTATACCAGTAAGATTCTTCTTTTTTTTTTTTTTTAAAGATTATTTATTTGACAAAGAGAGATCACAAGTAGGCAGAGAGGCAGGCAGAGAGAGAGGGGAAGCAGGCTTCCCGGTGAGCGGAGCGGAGCCTGATGCGGGGCTCAATCCCAGAACCCTGAGACTATGCCCTGAGCCGAAGGCAGAGGCTTTAACCCACTGAGCCACCCAGCCGCCCCCAGTAAAATTATTCTAATTACAGTTGTTCAAAAATAGAACGGTCTCAGTTCCAAGTCCCTGAAAGTTTCCCAATAGAACGTGAAAGACAAGCCAGGTATTTTCAGAAGGATGCTGTCCCGGGGACGGCAGTTGGACTGTACAACCTCTACTTTTTCTTCTCTCCCATTTTTAGATCTCATTACACCTCTCATTAAGGGGTCTAATTTTGTGCTGCATTTCACTTCCAAATGTTATCTGCACATCAAGAATGCCTTATATCTAATCCTGGTTTGCATAATGTAGACTCTTCATAACACTAGCAACACTTAACGAGTTCCTGTCACCTGCCAGTCAGCCTTCTAAGCATGTAATGGGAGGAATTAACTCATGTAATCCTCAACCCAGCCCCACAAGGTAGGTCTTACTACGCTCATTCCAGGTTGAAGATTTCGCCCGAGGGTCCACGGATTATGAAGGACAGAGCTGCGGTCTGAATCCAGGTTGGCTGTCTCCAGAGTTAGTCTCTCTCTCTCTTTTCTGTTTTTAAGATTTTATTTATTTATTTGACAGACAAATACCACAAGCAGGCAGAGAGAGGAGAGAGGAGGAAGCAGGCTCCCTGCTGAGCAGAGAGCTGGAAGCGGGGCTGGATCCCAGGACGCTGGGATCATGACCTGAGCGGAGGGCAGAGGCTTAACCCGCTGAGCCACCCAGGCGCCCCCAGAGTTAGTCTCTTAACCAACATGACGCTGCCTCTCACTTGGTAGAGGTTTGAAATTGCTCCGGTTCTGACTGCTGAGATCTGTGTGGCATTTTGGCATGGTTCCAGCCAGCTGGACATAAAAAAGCTGACCCGATCATGGGACCTACCAACAACCAAGGTGTGCCATATGTAGTCCACATCTGAGGGCCAAAGGCAGAGAGTAGTAGGACAGCTGCATCACGTCCGGACGCGGATCACAGCAACTGACAGGTGCACAGGGCTGCGGAACCTGCTGGCCGGGAACGGTTCTTAAAGGGCCAGCAGCCCACCCGTTCATCATCGGTGCCTCCAGTGTGAGGGGAGCCCGGTGGGTGGAGCTTCTTCCTATCGAACCAATTCAGTGACGGGGGTTAACACTACCTGTCAAGTGGGTTCCTGCCCGGCACCTCCTCTCTTCCTGTGGCCTCACCCACCTCTCAAGCACCCTGGCCTCCGCCTCCTGCGACACTATATTCATTAGTATCTCAACCCTTCATCTTGATGGTAAACGCCTCGGCTGAATCTTACTTTTGTTCCAACTCAACGAGATTAAATTTCCCTGGACAGCATTAGGTGGTTTGTTTTGTTTTAATGGTTGATTAATTTATTTTTATAGTCCTATAACTCCCACAATTTCATTAAAAAAATGACTTTCAGGCTGCAAAATGGCCTCTGCTGCTAATTAGATTCCATAGATCTGTCCTGAAAAGGATAAATCATTGAAAAATACATGATTATTACTAAAAGTATGGCTATGTCAGGTCAGTTACCCAAGGTCTTTGACGGAGAGGAGCGGGTGGGGGAAAGCTCAGCGCCTTCTGCCAGCCCTACTTTCTCTTCCAGTCCCCGGCCGCTTGGGCCGGCCCCCACTGCCCCACCGCCGGACCTCGCCGCGCCCCCCTGCCGCCCCCCCTCCCGCGGGGCCTCGGCCGCGCCCCACCCCCCTGGCCGGCGGCGTCACGTGGCGGCTGAGCTCCCCGCGTGCGAGCCTCTGTCCAGCGCCAGGCCCCGCTGGACGCCAGCGATGACGGTTGTTTGTTCGCGGATCGTACTCCGGGGAAAGCCTGCTGCCGCCCCGCACCCCTGCAGCCCCGCTGCGCAGGACAACCCCGGAAACCGGCCTCCCGTGGGCGGCCCTCCCCCGCAGACCCCTCCCCTCGGCGATGGCTTTCCCAGGTGTTCCCGGCCCCGGGGCCTCCCCCAGAAGCAAGTCGCCCCGGGGGTGGGGGTTCTCGAGCCGCAGCAGCCCCGGGCGGCCCGCGCCTGTCCTCGCGCCCCCCGCCGCGGCCCCCGCCCCTCGAGCGCCCGCGCTGGAGCCAGGCTGCCCCGGAAGGATCTGACCGGCCACTTCCTGCAATTGTCTCTCTGGACGCCGTCCGCGGGCGGCCAGCGCTCCCCGTCGCCCTCCCGGAGCCCGGCCTCTCGGCCGTTCCCGCCCCCCAGCTCGGCCCGCAGCGCCGCGCTCCTGCGCCGCCCTCTCCGCAGCCGGCCGCGGGGGACCGGGGGTGGAGGCGGGGCCGGGCGTGCGCGGGCCCCGGGGCCACCCGCCGGCCCGGGGCGGAGGCGGACGCGGGCAGCCGCGCTCTGGCTCCCAGCAGGTCGAGTCTGAGGGGCCGCCCGGCGTGGGCTGGGGGCCGCCCGGCGTGGGCTGGGAGCACTGCCCAGCGCGGGAGGGGGCACGGCTTGCCCCTCCGCGCAGACCCCCCGCCCCGTCCTGGTCCCTCGGGGCGCGCGCTCCAGGAAGAGGCGCAGGGAGGTCGGAGGAGGGGCCTGTCTGCACTTGATGGATGGCACTGGAGAAATGTCTGGCACTTTCTTTCCCCGTGGGGGAGGTGAGGCTGCGGCCACCTCCCCCCCGCACTCGTTCGCATTCCTGCCAGCCTGCTCAGGAAGGGCTTGGGTGGGGCTGCGGCAGGGCGAGATGGGAGTCATCTGGCAAACTCTCCCTCACACGGGCTTACACCGGCGTGGGAGCGGAGGGGCAGGTGGACAGTCCAAACCGCAGCCGGGGTGAGAGGGCCCATCCATGCTTCCTGGCTCCCAGGCCTCCCCAACGCTGGGCGGTGTAGCAGTGCTCAAGCTGCTGTGGTCCGCAGACCCTGGGAGTCCTCAAGACCCTTCCAGTCGTCGGACGAGGTCAAGACCCCGCACAATCCTGCGAATACTTTGTGACTTGACAGGCACACTGACAGCAGGAAGGCAATGGGGGAAACTGCTGTGTCTTAGCAGAAACCAAGGCAGCAACGCCGAATGACTCATTGTATTCTTCATTACCACACACTGGCCGGGGAAGAAAATAAAAATTAAAAAGCCAGTTTTTACTAAGAATGTCCTTGACAAAAAATGTGAACATGTGATTGGTTTATTATAGTTATTTAAATGCGTTAATAAGGACTTGTTTTAATTTCTAATATGGTATACATCAATAGATTTAACCCACATAAATGAAAACTCTTTGAGGTTCTCAATAATTCTGAAGGATGTAAACAGGTCCTTGGACCAGGAGTGTGAGTACTGCTCGGGGGAAGTCACAGGCTGTCAGGTAGCTGAAGGGGGACTGAGGCCCTTTGCAGATACTGTATTCCCAGCTTGAGAAGTGGTCTTATTTGGAGTAAAGGGGGGAACCACAGCTATGTTTTCTGGGAAGCCACTCTCCTTCCAGAGACATTCACTAGAATACAGATGTGAATGGCCTCTGCTCGCAAGGGAGACAAGACATACAGGCCCACAGCCCCTCCAAGCTGCCCCTCTCCCCTGTGTACTGGATCCAGTGTTGGGGGCGGAGGGGGACACAGGTGTGTTTGTGGCCCAAGTGGAGTAGGCCTAGACGTGGATTCCCCTCATGGCCTTTTCCTGTTGCCTCTAAGGTGGCTCTTCCCCCTCCCCAAAGAAGTCACAGTGTACCAAGTTTGACAGAGTGCGGGGGACAGGATCCAGGAGTCCACACCCTAGCCTGGCCTGAGTCAGGATGGACAGTGGGTACACTTGTCTCTGTGTGTGCCACTGGGCATGACTGTGTGCTTTGGTCCAGTTCCATGAACTCCCAAGTTCTCCCCAACACCAGTCCTCCTGCATAGGTTGTATCTGGTGTCTCCACTGGGTTAGCACATCCGAGTTGTTCAACTACTTCTCCGATCCTTTGGCAATGGCAGGGCTGCTGTGGGTGAGGCTGAGGTCTGGCACCTCTCTGTTACCTTTGGCACAGGGAAGGGGGGTGTGGAAGGCCAGGAGGGGAGGCAGGTCAGCCTCGAGTGCTACTCCCCCGCTCCCCGAGGAGCCAGTAGGTCCGAACTTTGCCTTTGCCCTGGAGGGAAAAAGAAGAGGCAGTTGGGATGGGGAGTAGCACACCTTACCCACTTACCCAAATGAGAGGAGAAGCTTAGGGATGGGAGTGGGTTGGCTGCTTAAGAAAGGGCCTGGGGGAGGATAACCCCCCCCCACCTCCCCAGGACTCCAGGGGATGGCGAGGGCAAGGGGCTTTCTTCTCTACCTTCATTTCTACATCTCCTCGGAGCTCCAGCTCAAAACCACCAAACTCTTCTAGGACAGCCTTGGTCTCAGAAGACAAGTGGATCTTCAGGGCTGGGAAGAATAAGGGAGAAGAAGGGAAGGTGGGGTATGGAGAAATAGGAGCAGGGAAATTGGGAACTGCAGGGCTAGAAGGGTGCTCTTCTTCCTTTCTTTTGGTCTAGAAAGCCTCTGAATTCAGAGTTCCACCCCTCCATTTGGAGTGTGACCATACTGGCCTCTCCCTTAGAATTCGAGACTCTATTGTCCGACACCCGTAGCCACTAGTCACCTGTGGCCATTTATATTTAAATCATTTAAAACCAGGGGTGCCTGGGTGGCTTAGTCAGCTAAGTGTCTGAGTCTTGATTTCAGCTCAAGCCATGATATCTGTGTTGTGCGTTCAAGACCCGCACGGGGCTCCACACTGGGCATGGAGCTTAATATATATATATAAAAAACCTGGGTCGCTGGAGTGGCTCAGTCAGTTAAGCAGCTGCCTTTGTCTCAGGTCTTGATGTCAGGGTCCTGGGGTTGTGTCCCCACATCAGGCTCCCTGCTCAGTAGGGAGTTTGCTTCTCCCTCTTCCTCTGCCTCTCCTCCTTCTGGTTCTTTCCCCCACCCCTTGTGCTCACTCTCTCTCTCTCTCTCAAATAAATCACTAAATCTTACCAAAAAAGTGGTCAGTGCAACTGAGGCACTGAATTTTTAATTTTTAGTTTTAATTATTTTTTTAATTTTTTAAAAAGTTTTTATTTATTTATTTGACAGACAGAGATCACAAGTAGGCAGAGAAGCAGGCTCCCTGCTGAGCAGAGAGAGAGAGAGTGTGAGTGCATGAGCACAGGAAGGGGCAGAGACACTCTCCTGCAGACGTCCCGCAGAGCAGGGAGCCTGACTCAGGTCTCCATCCCACAACCCTAAGATCAGGACCTGAGCTGAAATCTAGAGTCAGATCTTGTTAAGTCCTTGTTAGGAGCATTAAATTTAATGCTCACGAAGTCTTTAAACAGAATCTGGCGCACAGGAAGCACTCTGTTAAGTGGTTGCTGTGACTCTTGTTGGACTCAATACTCATTTTAGGGCTGAGAAAACGGAGGCCTAAGGGAGGAGATACGCCCCACCTGCGAGGTCAGATCTAGGCTCCTACTCCTGAGCTGGTATCCCCCACACTTCTCTTGAACTTGCCCTGCCGCTCCTGGTCTGTAGCATAGTGGTCTTGTTGAGTCCTTGAACCATTTCCGAGAACAGGCTCCTTGAAGACTGACCTCAGGGAGGGGCTTTCTCCTCCTGGCTGCCCAGGCGGTGCCCAGGGAGTGTCTGCTGAGCCAGAGCCCTTGGGGCTCCCAAGTAGCCCTTCTCCTGCCTTGAGGCTTGGATGGGGTCTGCATGAGGCGCCTCCAGTGGGTCTGGGTCGTCTTAGCACCCCGAGGCCCAGCACTTGGCAGTCACTCAGTACAGGTCTACGGAGTTGATTCGAGTATAGCAGGAGGTAGAAGACAGCCGGAAGCAGGACTGGGGAAGAGGGAGGGTTAGCACGCACTAGGTGCCTAATGAGAGGAGGGCCTGTGCTGGCTCTTCCACAGCCCTGAGACAGGTGTCACTTTGCAGATAAACAGCTGAAGCTCAGAAAAGTCGAGTGACAGTTATAACCTGGTCGTGTCATTTGGGTTTCACACATAACTCTTGTAAGGTACGTCTCTTATTCTCATCTTACAGAGAAGGAAATCAGAGGCTGGAAGCAGACTGACTCACAGCTGTGTGGGTTGTGGAGCTGAGATTCCCACCCCAGCGGCTGCCCGAAGCCCTCCAGCACATTCCAGAGGGCTCAGAGGCACCGAAGGGCAGGCTCCCCTTGGGGAACTGCTGAACACAGGCCGGAAAGACTTCGAAGCACTTGGCAGGAGGGGGCTGGCTCTCTGACAGGACTGGAGGTGATGGGCCCACACGGAAGCCCAGGCCAGGTGCCAGCGCCCTGGGTGGGGTGCCAGCCCGAGGGGCTTTCCTCCCCACCCCCCCACCCGCCCTCTCCGGCCGCCCGGGGCAGCTGCCTCACCTTCCCCGTTAGACTCCATTCTGGAGGCGGTGTTGACTGTGTCTCCAAAGAGGCAGTACCGGGGCATCTTCAGCCCGACCACACCGGCGCACACGGGCCCTGCGGGGAGTGCAGGGTGGCAGCCGGGTCAGAACGCATGGTGGTTGCTGGGCAGGGCAGAAGCGGGACCGAGGCCCTTTGGGACCAGGTGTGTGCGTGTGTGATGGGGGCGGTGAGGGGGGCCGGCTTGGGGACAGTCCCGCCCCCCCGGGGGGTCCCCCTCACCTGTGTGGATGCCGATCCGCAAGCGCAGCTCCTCCTGCGGCCTATGGCGGATGCGGAAGGAGCGCACGGCGTCCAGCAGCGCCAGCGCCATGCGGGCCACCTCCCGGGCGTGCAGCAGCCCGTTGCGCACGGGGAGCCCCGACACCACCATGTACGCGTCGCCAATGGTCTCCACCTGCGGGGGGCCGCCCGGGATGCACACCCTGAGCGCCGGGGGCTGGGCCGGACCTGGTGCCGCCCGCACACTGTGGGCCCTGTCTGTGTTTCCGCGCCCCCGTCCCCTGCGTCCTTGCTCTGCCTGGTCCTGGGGCTCCAGGTAACAGTCTCTGCCCGGGTTTCATGGGCCCCTCTCTGGACGCTCTCTGGCGTTCTGCCCTTCCCCGTGCTCTGACCCCGTCCATTACCATCTCACCTTGTACACATCAAAGTTATCTATGACGGCATCGAAGCAAGTGTACAGGTCATTGAGTAGGGTGACCACCTGGAAGGGAAGAGAAGCCAAGGGGGGTAGGGAGGAAGGTCCCCCCGCTGGGACCGAGTGGGAGCAGTGGAACCAGCAGGCAGGTCTGACGGGGCGGAGCTGCGAGGCCAAGCACACGGGCCTGGTTTCCAGGGGCCTCACCTGCATGGGCGTGCTCTCTGCCGACAGGGCCGTGAAGCCCACGATGTCACTGAAGTAGATAGTAACACTGTCGAAGGCTTCTGCCTGGACCGTCTCCCCACGCTTCAGCTGCTCAGCCACGGAGCTGCGGGGTCAGGGACGGGGTGGGATGGATCAGAGCATGAGGTGGGGGGATCAGAGCATGAGGGTGGGGGGGATCAGAGCACGAGGTGGTGCGGGGGGCGGGGCACGGGCGAGGCCTGGCCTGGGCCCTCACTGCGGCAGAATCTGGTAGAGCAGGGCCTCGGCTCTGCGCTTCTCCTCCAGGTAGGCCTGGGTCCGCTCCTCCACCAGCCCCTCCAGGTTGTTGGCGTACTGCTCCATGCGCGACAGCAGGTTGTCCAGGATGTTGCTGCTGTTCTCTCTGAGGCCGGGGTGGGGGTACGGGGACGCAGTGAGAGAGAAGCAACCCGTCGAGCACCCCCCCCAAGCCCTGCCGTGCCCACCCTGGCACTCACCCTTCTCAGGATTCATGTCAGCCCACCCCCCAAGTGCGGTGGGGTCCCCGGAGAGGGTTGGGGTTGGGGAGCCTGGCAGGATGGGTGTGCCGGGGGAAAGGGCAGGAGGAAAGTTCCATTCATCTCTGAGACCCCAGAGTCCGGCCTGGAGAAACCTTGGCTCCTTTGTTCATCTTTGTTGAAGACAAGCAGGTTAGAAGGAGGCAGAGGAGGTGGAGAGGTGGAGGGTGGACACACAGGCCCGCAGAAGGGCGTGGGGAGGGGTTGCTGGGGCATACTGCGGCAGGGAGGGCCAAGGGCTGGGGTGGGGGCCCCTGTGGAGGGCTGGGAGGCCGGAAGCCTGTTAGTTCTGCTCTGCTGCAGAGGAGGGGCTGGTGGGGGGCAATGTTGGTGTGGGGAGGGGCACAAGAGGTTGGGGACAATGGGACAGCCAGGCCAGGCAGCGCTCCTAGAGAGGGGCCTGTGGGGGCCGGGAGGTTGTGGGGGCGGGCTGGGGCGGGGGAGGCTGTGGGGGTGGGGGGCTGTGGGGGGGTGGGCTGGGGCGGGGGAGGCAGGGGAAGGCGCCAACCACCTGTTGAACGTGCGCAGCATCAGGCGAACCTGCTGGAAGGACGGCCGCTCCTGCGGCTCCTCCGCCCAGCACCGCTGCATCAGCAGGCCCAGCTCCTCCAGTCCGCTCTGCAAGGCCAGGGAGGGCCGGAAGGGGGGTTGCTCCCCCCGGGTCACGCGCTCCACGATCTCTGCGCAGTGGGGAAAAGAGGGGCTGAGGGGAGGGTCCCGCCAAGGGCCAGAGAGAGCCGGTGCGGAGGGTAGGGCGGGAGCGGGCCCGGGCGGGGAGGGCATGATTCGGAGTCCCTGGCACAAAGGCTGGTGCAATTGGGGCAGGGCTAGGGGGCAGCAGGGGTCTCTCACCTTTGGGGCTGAGGTCCAAACCTTCCACGTGGAAGACACCGCTCCTTAGGGCAATCTCCTGAAGGATGATCCCGAAGCTGTACACGTCCCCTGCCTGGGAGCCCCGGGCAGGGGGTGAGGCCATTCGCAGGAGCTCAGGGGCTGTCCACAACTTTTCTGCAGGTCAGAGGTCAGGAGTCATGGGGTGAAGGGCCTTAAAACTAAGGGGTGGGGGAAGCAAGGTCCTAGAAGATGCAGCCGGAGTGACCTGGAGACATCACACCGAGTGGTACAGGGAAGCCTCGGGACCACTGTGTCAGGCTCCCCTTTGCACTGGAGGATGAACTGAACCCGGAATCAGGAAAGGCCTGCTGAGCCCTAGAGAAGCCAGACATCAGGCCTCCTGCTGGGCTGGGCTTGGGAAGTGGGGGAGGGTCTTAGGGTTAGGGTTAGGGCTCACTGGCATAGAGGGTGTGGCCTTGCTCTGGTTCTGGGTCCCTGAAGCTTTCCAGCCCAAAATCAGTGATCTTGAGCACGAAGCGCCCGTCTACCACGCAGTTGGATGACTTGAGGTTGCCGTGGGAGCAAATGGCCCCACTGTGTAGGAACAGCATACCCTGGGGAATTGGGGGAGGCAGAGGCCTTGGTATCAGCGGGACCTACAACTGAGGCTGGGGAGAAGCATGCTCGGCCCCTCCCCCACAAATCCCACCTTGACGATGTCACTGGTGAGAGAATACCGGAACATCCAGTCTAAGGTGATGCTCTCGTTTTCCAGAATGTCCTGCTGGGCAGTGAGAGTCAGGCATGAACCCTGGGGACTCCAGGGTGGGTTCGGAGGCCGACTGACACAAACCCGCACAGCAGGACAAAGCCTTGGATTTACTCCAGTGCATCTGCACACCCCCCACCCCTGCCCCCAGCATTTTACAGATTAGACAAATAAAGGTCAGAAAGCGGGAGAAGCTTGCCTGGGGTCATGGCCAGTGGGGGACAGAAGCAGGGCTAAACCCAGATCTGCTGACAGTCCTTGTCCCCCTCACCTGCAAACTCCCACGGGGACAGTACTCTGTGAGGATGCAGATGTTGGGGGGGTCAGTGCAGGCACCCACAAACCTGGTCAGGTGTTCATTCTGTACATCCCGCATCTGGACGTGATAGCCAGTATCAGAAACCCGGCAGAGACCTCGCTCCTCACCAGGTGCCCCCCGCCCATTCAGGGACCCCCTCAGTCTTCTTAAGGCCCTGTTCACTCTGCAGACAAAGTCTAGGACCTTGGTGATTCCCACCTGTGCTCTGAAGAACACTCCCGCCTCCCCCAGAATGTGCTCCCTGCTCACTCTGCCTCCTAACCCCTCCACCCCCCAGGGGCATCCAGTACAGCCCCTCAAGGACCCCCTCCAGGGTTCCTCCACTAGTCTCTTCCCTCATTTAGGACCCTCTCCCCTGCGCACAATATGCAAGGGTCCATTCCTTTCCTGGGATACCCTGTCGCCCTCCCATGACCCTCCCGTGGCTGCCGCCTCACTCCCCCACATTACATGCTTCAGTTCAAACAGGACTTTTCGCGTCAGCTCAATGCGCTTACGATTCACACGTTTCACGGCCACGAGGTTGCCCTGGGCAAGGAAAGGAGGATGTCACCGAGTTGGCCCTGTGGTGGGGACCGCCCTGTGCCCTGCCCCAAGGATGGCAGTCTTTCCCCTGGCCCACCTTATAATACGCTGTCCTGGCAAACACTTGGAACTGGCCCTCTGTGGTCAGCAAGGAGCCGTAATTGGAACCTCTCTGGAAGGATGGAGAGCAGGAGGGGTGGTCCCGCTGCGAGCCTCACTGCAGGTGCCGTTCTCTGACCTGGTGGCCAGAGCTCTGCCCCGCCTTAGCTTGGTGTCAGCCTGCTTCTCTCTCCACATCATAAAATCCTTCTCTGGTTTCTTCCTTTTTTTTTTTTTAAGATTTTTATTTATCTAGTTATTTATTTATATTTTTTAAAGGTTTTCTTTCTTTATTTGACACAAAGAGAGAGAGAGAGAGAGAGAGCGCGCGCAAGTAGGGACAGAAAGATGAAGGAGAAGCAGGCTTTCCACCAATCTGGGAGCCTGATGTGGGGCTCGAGCCCAGGATCCTGGGATCATGACCTGAACTGAAGACAGATGCTTAAAGACTCAGCCACCGAGGCGCCCCTTTTTATTTCTTTTTAATATGTATTTTCCCGTACACTATTTCTGAATCTTGAAAGCCTCCTCTGAAGGAGGCTCTGTGGGCATAATTATGATTTGAGGTCCTCTCAGAGGGTCAGTGAGACTCACCTTAGGACACACAGCAAGTGAAGGCTGAGCTGAGACTAGAACCTTGCCCTGGGCCCCAGCCCCCAGGCACTGTCCCCGAGCCCCACACCCCGCCCTCCTACACCTTCCCCTAACCCTGCTCTTACCCCACTCAGGGTCAGCCGACTGCCCGCGCTCCGGAGATGCCGGTCCAGACTGCTGGGCTGGACGTCTTCCCAGCGCACCCGCCACAGCTCTGAGGCCAGTTCCTTCTCCAGCTGCATCTTCCTGAGGCAGTAGACCTCTCTCTGAACCCACGTCCGATCCCCTGGCCCTGGGCGGGGCAGCTGAGCGGCCCCTCCTCTGAGCCCTGGGACCACCGCAGGTGCTGACGGCGGTGGGGGACAGGGGAGTCCCCTCCTCTATCAGCTGAGAGTCAGGGGGTGTGGGGCAAGTCCTGCCTGCCCCACGGGGACCTTGGGCAGTCACTTCATGTCTCTGAGCCTCATGTCCTTATGTCCAAGTGTCCTGATTTGGGGACTGGTGACCTCGACATTTATTTCAAAGCATTGTTGTAAGAATGAAAAGAAAACAGCGTGTGGCAGCGTCTGGCACATAGTCTCGGCTCAGCCAGCACTGATCTTCCCCTCCCTGCGTTAATGTCTGCATTTCATTTCGGCTTCCCACTGGAAGGCGGGAGTGGGGCTCCCTCACTTCTCTCCCATGCTCTGGGTTCAGCACCCCTGCTCAACAGACTGGGCCCACTGCCTCAGGGCCACCATTCCCCATCAGGTCTGCACATCTGACGGAAGGAGCCACCAGCCCCCAGGCCAGAACCCACAGGCCTGTGATGCCCAACCGCTCTGCTCTTCCCTGATCTCCCAGTCCCTTCCAGGCCCTCCTTCTCTCCTTCCTGTGTCCTCCGGCTTTCTAGCCTCCTTCCTTCCTCATCTCCTGTGACCTTCCCTCACTGTCCTGCTTCTCTGCCCCCTTCCCTCCAGGTCCCTGCTGCTTCCTCCACTAGTCTCACTCCCCACCCTCATCCCAAGACTCACCTGTATATGAAGAAGGAGACAGTCAGAACACTGAACAGGGAGAGGCTGCCCACCAAAGCCAGCACTTCCAGGGTGGAAAAGTGATCTGCACAAGAGTCCAGGTTCCAGCAAGAGAGATTTGGGTTAGAGAGCAGGAGGAAGAAACTTCGAATAGTTAATCAGTGAACCAGGAAGATGGAAGCAGGGAGGAAAAAGGCAGGAGGACTGTCTTCAGAAAACCCTCAGTGTGGGAGAGGGGCACCTGACTCCTGAAGCGGGGGAGAGACTGTCCGTCTCCAGGTCGCAGGCCTGAAGGCAAGAGGCAGTCACCTTGGTTGCAAGCTGGGTCCTCGTTGTCAAAGCCACATTCGGGGGTGTCAGGAGGAGGGTGCCCCAGGGCCCAGTTCAGTTTGCGCCCCGGCACAGCCATCAGCTCCTGGGAAGTCCCATTGTAGTTCAGAACAACCTGCGGGAGGGCAGCAGTGGAGGCGGGCGAGGTCTGGGGTGCCGCCTCCTGTCCCCGGGGGGAAGGCTGCCTCCCCACCCACCCCAAGTGGGCTTTCTAAAGAAAACTCCATGCAGAACCCCAACTTGACATTCAGGGAGTTTATAACCTTGGGCTGAAGCACATACGAAACAGGAAAAGGCAATGTTCTCAGTCCACACTCCCAGGCCTAACGCATGTATCCCTTCTCCAGGAAGTCTTCCCTGGATGCTCTGCTCCTCAGGGCTTGTAGCCCCAATTCCTTCCTGTCCCTACTGAACGTAGAGAGCTATATGGCCCCCAGATCAGCCTGTCTCTGGGGGAGAGGGTCCTGCCTGTCTGAGGAGACATGGACTTCCTGAGGGTAGGGCCGTGCACCCTCCTCACACATGGGGTTCCCCAAGGGCAATGCCTATGAGTCCCTGTCATTCTGGCTGCTCCCCTGGACCGGAGCTGGGTCTCTCATCCAGGGCTCTCCAAAAGTGACGAATGAGCAGAAATGCCCTGGCACAGCTGTGGGGGAAGGCCGGAGGACAAGAGGTCAGTGCCAGCTGGCACCGTCTTCTGGGGGCATAACCTTACCCTGAAAGTGCCCGTCTCAGGATGCATATCCCAGAGGGAGAAGTCGGTCTCCCGATCTCCATTGCTGTCCATGTGCAGGTATCCTGCCACACCTGGGGCATGGGGAAAGAGGGCTGTTTGGACAGAGTGCCAGCTCAGCACTCTCCCCTGGGTCTCTCTCCCTCGGCCGTCTTTGCCTTGCTCTCCAAACACGCGCAATAGCAACAACGTGTTCACAACGTGTGTAATGACAAAAGGGACATATGTATCACACACGCAATAGCAACAACATGTTCACAACGTGTGTAATGACGAAAGGGACGTATGTATCAGCAGTAGGAATGACTGAAGTTGCATACATAGAAGGACTTTTTTTTAAAGATTTTATGTATTTCCTGGAGAGAGAAAGCAAGAGACAGCATGAGCCGAGGGGGAGGGGCCACGGAAGAGGGAGAAGCAGACTCCCCACTGAGCAGAGAGCCCTGGCTGGATCCTCAGGGCCTGATAACCCAGACTGAACTACCCAGGCGCCCCACTTAGGTGGCCTTCTTGAGGGAGCTAGGGAAGTGGGGAAGGAGGCCTAAGGGAAGCTGTGGAGCTTCCTTATATAAGGACAGGCATGGATGAGTAACACCCCCACCCCTCGGCATCTCATGGCCTCCTGCATGGGGCGCCCAAAGGTAGCCTATCTCTGTCACCTCCAGCCCCTGACCTTGGAAGCTCCGGTTCCACATCCGCTGGGTGACAGCCTCCCCATCCATGACAGTTCCCCCGTGTGCCAGAGTCTCTGTCACTGCCTGGACATAGAGCAGGAGCCCGTCGTGGAAGGCTGCTGGGATGGTGTTCACCTGTGGTGGTGAGCAGAGCTTGGCTGGGGTGGGATGTACGAGGGGTGCTGAGTGGGGCATCGTGGAGGAGGAGGAGGAGATGGAGGGTCCTGGGAGCTCGGAGGGGGGCAGGAGAAAACACCTCCACAGGACAGAGATTTTTCTACTTAAAAGATGCCTCTACCAATCCCTCTGCTTCCGAATCCTGCTAGGCAGGTAGGGCAGAACATGTCATCCTTATTTTACTGCGAGGATCTGAGTTTCAGAGGCTGAATAATTTGTCATTGCCCCTCTTGGTCATCCTGAGAAGTGGGGACTGGGGGAAGGGGAAGCATGGGAGGCCTGGGCATGCAGAGATGGCTAAGAGGACAGGCAGGCTGCTGGCAGAGGGCCAGGGTGGGGGCTGGATGTCCATGCTGGAAGGTCCCAGGATCCTTCCTACCAGGCCATCCTCCACTGTGAAGTTGAACTGCTCACGGGCCAAGTGTTTTAGCCGCTGCAGGAATTCCAAGTACTCGGGGTTACCGGGCTCTTTGTACGTGATGATCTTGGCAGCCTGAGGAAGGGGTCAGTGGAGCGGGGGAGCTGGGAGCTGATCCAGTCCTCCCAGTACCCTGGGGCCCACCTCCCCCAGTGCATCTCTGCTTCGCTCAAGGTCAAAGTGGGTGGGCTCCATGTCATGTGTGAGCAGGGGACCCCGGTGAATGACTTCTTGAGTTCTGCTAGTCTGTGCTATTGGAACGCTCTCCCAACCCAGGCCCATTCGCTCATCTTTTTAGCCTCCTGGCTCTGAAGTCTCCCAGCCCTCCAGCCACCCCTCACCCCCTCCTGCCCTTCCTCACCTGCCTCCCTGAGCAATCAAGAGCCTCTTTTCTGGAATCCCTTCAGACCCTGGGGAACCCAATGCCCAGAAACTGGGTGCCACCAGCTCCAAGTCCCACTGCCTGGGCTTACAGCCTAGACACTCACCTGAAAGGCCCGGTGGGCACTGATATCCTGCCCATCCCCCCTCTCCCAGGGCCTATGGGGAGCAAGGCCGTGTGCACCTTGCAGGCTTTGTCCAAAGAGGTCCAGGTGGAAGAACACGTAGTCTTCCCCACTTAGACCAGCTTCCATGGCCAAAAGCATCAGAGTTCTGAAGGCATCTGGGGAGCTGCATATGTAGATAACTGGGGAGGAAGGGGGTGGTCAGAAAGAGAGAGAAGCTGGATCCCCGCGGAGTGGGAAGGAGGAACTCGGGGAAGGAAGTTCACGACTCCACGCTGGTCTAGGCCGAGGCTGAAGGAAGGTGGAGAGGGCTGGGAGGAGTCGGTGGGCGGGCATGAGGGAAGGAGCCGAGACAGGGAGAGCCAGCAAAGCGGAGCCAAAGGTGGGGAAGGTGGGGTGAACCCGGGAGGGAGAGGAGGAGGCGGGCCCGCTGGAAGGGGGACTGGAAGGGGAGAGGGAGTGTGGAGGAGAACATGGAGGGGAAAGGCTGCCGGGAGGCGACCGAAAATGGAGGAGGAGAGGAGGGCTGGGCATGAAGCCGGGGACCCACTAAGAGTCAGGTAGCCGCAAGCATTTCGGCGGGAGGGAGCGGTGGCAGGCGGGCGGGGGCGTGTGGGAGCTCAGGACCGTGGCGAGAGCCGGCGGAGGAAGAGAGAGGAACGGAGCCTCCGGCCGAGGCTGCGCGGGAGTGGGGGAAGACCCGCCCGCGCCGCCCCCTCACCTCGGCCTTTGCGCCTCACGGTCCGCAGCAGCAGGGTATAGTGGTCAAGGTCGCCCTCGGCGAACTCCAGGTGGTCCACGGTGATGTTGAGGCGGTCGCGCACGCGCATGTACAGCCCTTCCACCACGAAGAAGCAGGGCTGGTCGTCGCCCGGCCGGTAGGCGTAGAGCACCAGCGCCCGGCGCTCCCAGCCCAGCCGTCGGTGCAGCGCCGCCACCAAGTCGCCCAGCTTGGCGTGGCTGGGCCCGGCGCGCGTGGTCAGCGCGTACTCGTCCTTGGCCCCGAAGCCCAGCGCGGGGGCGCCGGCGGTCAGCAGCGGCACCCGCCAGTGCGCCGTGAAGCGCCCCACCGGGGCGGCCGCGTACACGCACCCGGGGCCCAGGAACACCGCGGGGCTGTGCTCCCACTTGAGGTCCACCGCGGCCAGGGGCGCGGCGGTATCGGAGCAGACGCCCCTCGCGTCCTCGCTGCTGCCCAGCACGGTGCGCACCGTCCAGCCGGGCAGCAGGTCAGGCCGCGCTCGCACCCCGGCCAGGGCCAGCTCCACGGCCGGTCCCACGCGCGCCCACGACCACGGGTACGAGGTGTTGGCCAGCGGCAGCACCACGGCCACCGTCAGGTTGCCCGCGTGGCCGCCCGGGAGCAACGGCAGCAGCGGCAGCGGGAGCAGGAGCAGGAGGGCTCCGGCGGGGCGGCCGGGGCGCAGCATGGCTTCAGCCCGCGGCTCGGCGGGCGGGCGCTGCCCCTCTGGCCTCTTCGGGGCCCTGCGGCTCAGCGGCCCGTCGCGGGCATCGGGCTGGGCACGCCGCCCCCTCCCGCCGCGTGGCTCGGTGTCGGCGGCGCGAGGGGCGCGTGGCGGGCGCGGCGGGGCAGGTGGGCGCCGGCAGCCGAGCGCGGGCGACCGCGCGCGGGCGCGTGTGTGTCAGGAGGAGCCGGCGTTCGGGGGAGAAGGATGCGAGAGGGCGCGAGGGAGGGGCGGGGAGAGGAGTGTTTGTGTGCGCGCGTGAGCGCCTGGCCCGGGAGGGTGCCAGCAGGGGCGTCCGGCCGTCCGGGGGGAACGGGGGAGGTCCTGAGCCGAGCTCCGAGCCCTTCCTCCCGCCGCTTCCCCTCCCAGACTCGGCGACTGGCGCTTTAACCCCTTCGTCCCCTCCCCGAAGTCGCGGACAGGCCCGCGCCCCCAGCCCGCGGGCTCTCCCCCGAGACCCTCCGCGCCTTCCTCTTCCGAGAGCGGCGCCCGCACAAGAGGCTTCCGCGCTGGGATCGCGAGCGGGACCAGAGACGCGCGTGGGGCCCGCGGGGGCCCTTTTGCGCCCCACCTCGTCCCTCCCCCTACCTGGTTCCGTTTGGGGAAGAGAGCTGTGCGGACGCGGGGTCTTGGCAAGAAGAGGTGCGAGTGGACGGAAGTGTGTGTGTCTGGGGGTGGACGGGAGGGCGGCGGGTTTCTGGAAGGGCGTTAAAGTAGGTGAGCCCAGGGTCCCCGTGACCCAGTCCATCCAGGACCGCCCCCGCCCCCACCTTCCAGATTGAGCGGATTCTTGGAGAAAATGGGCCCAGTGGAAGGGCGGAGTTAACCCTTTAGTTCCCAAACGGTTATAGGAGGGGGGAGAGAACGTGCGGTGGCTGGAGTGGGGAGGAGGAAGGGTGGTGACCTCGGGGCCGCTCCCGGAAGGTAAGCGTGAGTTTGCTTCGGGTTGAGGGGGATTGTTCAAATGGGATTTGCGGTGACGGTGGGAGATGGTGTTGGCAAGGACCGGTGAAGGCGTCCACTGGGGAGAGGGTCTGGGTGAGTGGGGAGGGTGGTCCTTGACCGCCCGCCGCATCCCCGCGCTGTGGCATCAGTCTGCCCTCTCGTGGCCAGCGGGGGTCACTGACGCAGCTGCGCCGCCGCGGTCTCCCACCCTGCGCTGGGACTGAACCCAACCCCTGAGAGAACCCTTCTGCCGCAAACCGACCTGCTGCGCCCGCGAAACGGTCAGGGCCTGAGGGTAAATGCACGCATCGATGTGCCTTGGAGGAGTCCTGCTCGGGACGAAGAGCCGCCATGTAATCTGACTGAGGACCACAAGGAAGGAAGGATAAATTGCTCAGAGGCTCAGATGGGACTTCCGCTTGCTTTGGGGGACAGGAAAATCTCCAGAGAAAGAATTCAGCAAAAGCAGAATGATGAGCGAGGTATTCTGTGCAGAAAGAGCAGAATACCGAATTATATTTCCTATATCAGGAATTTCTGGAGAATTTTAGGACCATTTTTTCTTAGGGTCTAGAACAAATAGTAGCCCTGGGAGCAACTACAGATGGCAGGAATGCTTGGTTTGGCCTGCGTTCTCTTTCTCTATATTTGACTTCATTGCCTACACTCAGCCATCAGTAGATGAGGGGCGCCAGCCTGGCTCAGTCAGCAGAGGGTGGGACTCTTCTTCTTTTTCTTTTTTCTTTTTCAAGATTTATTTATTTATTAGAGAGACTGAGAAAGAGAACGGGGCGGAGGGAGACAGAGAACCTCAAGCAGATTCCCCACTGAGCATCGAGCCCCTCACAGGGCTCAACCCCAGGACCACCAGATCATGACCTGAGCTGAAATCAAGAGCCCATGCTTGGGTGGCTCAGTCGTTAAGCCTCTGCCTTCAGCTCAGGTCATGATCCCAGGTGCTGGAATCAAGCCTCGCAGTGGGCTCCCCACTCAGCGGGAAGCTTGCTTCTCCCTCTCCTACTCCCCCTGCTTGTGCTCCCTCTCTCACTGTGTCTCTCTCTGTCAAAAAAATAAATAAAATCTTAAAAAAAAAAAAAAAAGAGCCCATGCTCAACCAGCTGAGCCACTCAGGCACCCTGGGTGGGACTCTTGATCTCTGTGTTCTGAGTTCAAGCCCCAAATTGGGCATAGAGCTTGCTTGGTAAATAAATAAATAAATAAATAAATAAATAAAATCAGCTCGTGGCACATGAGTATTTGGATTTCTGACTTGTCTTGAAATATCAGAGAGCTGGCAATAGGCAAGTCCTGCACCCCTTCCTTGAGAGGAGTCTGGCTCATCACAGTTCCTACCCATCATGTTCACTCATTTGCTTTACCTGCCTGGCTGCTGTTGGAGTTTACATTTTCAACCCTGATCCACGATATAAGGTGTGTGCTTGTAGGAATAACTGAGGAGAGGGGCGCCTGGGTGCCTCCGGCTCAGGTCATGACCCCAAGGTCCTGGAATCAAGCCCCATGGTGGCCTGCTTCTCCTTCTCCCTCTGCTTGTGGCTCCCCCTGCTGGTGCCCTTGCTGGCGCACTAGCTCTCTTTCTCTCTCTCTGACAAAAAAAAGAAAAAAAAGGAATGACTGAGGAGAGGCAAGAGAGGGCAACAGAGGGCAGATCTTGCAAGCTTTGGGGTGATAGGCAGGGTGTCTTTGTCCTGTATGGGGGTGGTCCAGAGGCTAATAGAGGTAGATAGGAGATCGGAAAACTTTTTTGGAGGGGAGCGGACTTTTTAAAAAAAGATTTTATTTATTTATTTATTTATTTAACAAAGAGAGACACAGCGAGAAAGGGAACACAAACAGCCGGAGTAGGAGCCCGGAGAAGCAGGCTCCCTGCAGAGCAGGTAGCCGGATGTGGGGCTTGATCCTGTAAGGACCTATTTTATATTTTTATTTTAGCCAGAGGCTTCCATTGAGGTTAAACAATAACTTTGTTGTTTAACCCTTAAACAGTCCCTGCTCCCCTTCCCCAGGGGACTTAAAAACAAGTCCCGGAAACCAGCCTCAGGTAACAAAGCTCAAATACAAGGGTGGGCCAGGCCAGGTGGAGACATCCGATCAGTGGGGGCGCCTACTGTCTCCCTAGCTACCAAGGTGATGGGCTAGTTTCCATGGCTACTGTGGGGTAAATTGTAATTCAATTAGCCACCTCTGTGTGGCCAGGCCCAACCACATGGCCTTTGCTCTATAAGTTAGTCTGGAAAGCAGGGAGGGGTCGTCCTCCTTAAGGGGCGGCCCCAACCGGTCTGTTTGATGGTAGGTCTGATTCTTGATGCCTGGCGCGACAGAAAGCTTTGCTTAACCTTCGCTTTGTATCAGTCTCGCTCCTTTAATCACGGACCCATTATTGGGGTACCCATTTTTGGAAGGACCTAACAATCCCAGGACCCAAGCTGAAGGCAGACACTTAGGCGCCGCCTGGGAGGAGACTTTAAAAAAAACAAACTAGTTTTATTGAGGTATAACTGATACAGCATAAACTGTACATATTTAATGTATACAACTGATGAGTTTGGATATATGTGTACACTTGTGAAACCATTACCATAATATCAAGGTAATGAAGATATCCATCACCTCCAAATGTTTCCTTCTGTCCTCTTTCTCTCTCTCCTGCACGCGCACACGTGTGCATGCGTGTGCTTTTGTGTGTGTGTGTGTGTGTGTGTGTGTGTGTGTGCATGTGTTAAGACCTCCACACTGAGCCCAATGCGGGGCTTGATCCCAGGACCCCCGGATCATGACCTGAGCCAAAGGAACCTACTAAGGCACCTCCTTCTTAATGACTTTAAGTGCCTATATTGACAATCAACTGGACTTTAAGAAGAGAAGACAATGTACAAATAACTGAAGTTACGGTGACATTGACCCATTTGCTCAAGAGCTAAAGAAGCAGGTTTTTTGGGGTGGGTGATAACAGTTCTGGTTTATTGGGTGTGAGGTGCCTGTGGAGCCCCCTAGTGGAGGGGTTCGATGGGCCACTGGATTAGTGGAGCTCAGGAGAAATGACTGCACTCAAACCTCATCTAGCCATTGAGCCCCTCTTTCAACAATGGTGGCCTGAACAATTTGCCCAGTCCCTGAGCTGAAGATGACTAAAAATGTTGGATGAAATACTTTAAAAACTCAAAGCACTAATAAGACAGTGAGGAATTATTGGTGTTGAGAACATGAAAGACAGGAAAGCATGGAGGTGAGACCAGCAGTAGGACCACTTTTACCCTGGGGTCATTTGCAGATGAGAACTGGGGGCAAAAACGGGCTGTGTGGGGCAAGTGAGACCGAAATTATAGTCCAGATGTTCCCAAAGGTGAGAAAACTGGCAAACCATCTGCTGCTTTGGGGTTAGGATCCTGAAAGCTGCCTTCCTGAGGGAAAGCTTGGAGTCAGGTACAGCACAAGTAAATAGAAAATTCACACTGCAAAATATTAAAAAAAAAAAAAAATTAAGAATCAATTAATAGGGGTGCCTGGGTGGCTCAGTGGGTTAAAGCCTCTGCCTTCGGCTCAGGTCATGATCCCAGGGTCCTGGAATCGAGCCCTACATCGGGCTCTCTGCTCAGCGGGGAGCCTGCTTCCCTTCCTTTCTCCCTGCCTGCCTCTCTGCCTACTTGTGATCTCTGTCAAATAAATAAATAAAATCTTAAAAAAAAAAAAGAATTAATAGGTTTAAGAATAAGTCAGACTCAACTGAAGAGCAAGTAATACATTGGAAGAAAGAACAAAGAAATTTACCCAGAATGAAGCACAGATTAAACAAGAATGAAGAACATAAGAGTGTTGGAGACAGAAAGGACACCGTGAAAAAATCTGGCATACCTTTATCTGGAGCCCAGGAAGGAGGGCGAAACAAAAGCCCCCCCCCGCAAAAGCCTCACAGATTCAAGAAGACCAATAAACCTCAAGTAAGATTAAGATTGTCCATATTTCGACCCATCAAGGTGAAAGAGCAGGAAATTAAATCACAG